CACAGTACTAGACCTTCTTTGGACTGTATCTATTTTCATTCCAAAGAAAGGAACATCTAATATTGCAGATAAGATCCAAGGACACCGCAGCAGGCAGCCATACACAATTGATTTTCTTGCTTCCTTACATTCAATGCTGCTCCACTGGCAGGTACTGATACAAGTTTAAAAATGTCTTGGAACTAATCTCCAGACCGCTCTTACCTGAATAAATCCAAAATACCCTTTCTCTATTTTGTAAAGGCCCCAAGGAAGCCGAGAGCCTGCGCTGCCCCTTGAAGGAGGGTGACAGTGAACTAACACAGCATGGGATTGAAAGGCAAAGAATCCATCTCAGCTCCTTCTCCTTTCCTCTTGCATTCCCTGCTTACGTTTCTATCATGACTTCATCTTGAAATAGGCTACTTTTTCTGTCACTTCTGCTCAGGGTTTTGAAGGCTATTTTAACACAGGCTGTAACATAAAGATGTAGGCCACAAAGGAAGTTCTAAAAAGTATTTAGTTTCAGGACTAGTTGTCGAAGAAAAGACGAAGTGAACAAGATATACAGTTAACTAGGACACAACAAAAACACTTCCACAAATACAGGTTTGAAGAACATAATTAGAAAAAAACAAAAACAAAAACGTTTTGTGATTGTTTGCTGGGTTTTTTTTTTTTCCTAATGGTCATAAAATCTGTGGAGTTTCAAGATAAGCATGCATCAAAGAGTTTGTGTTTATTAGGTGTGTGTTTTTATTGACTTTGCTTGTGTTCCATCTTTCAAAGAGCAGAACTGGGACTTTTCTGTGATCACAGGAGCAGCGAGTTATACGCAGACACCACACATGAGTATTCAGATCTCACTTACAAATGTAGCCTAGAATATATGGGCAGCACGTGCCTGTGCGGCTCTCCTGCATCAAGAGAAAGAGAGAATAATGCTGCTGGGGAATTCTGCGCACAAAGCTCTGTGAAGCAAGAATTAAAATGAATGAGATTAAACAGAAAATAACTACACCAGGAATATGTTAATAATTTAATTAAAGTCTATCAAAGCTGAACTATTCTGCAACTACCGCTGAAGCCAGTCAACATTCCCTATTCTACTGGGGGATTTTGCCACAGGTAAAATTACCTGTTTGGAAACATCTCTTAATGTAGGAGGAAAACAAGGTCAACTAAGAATGTGGTATGATGGTTAACTTTGACAATGTTGGACTTCTCTGTTTTCTCAGACAGGCTTTTACTGACGTTTTAATATGTTTTCTTTACTGTAGTCTCATTTCTAGTGCATAAGATAAATTGAATATTGATCCTTTTGAAAAACAAGAGGGCAAGATTTAGTGCTCTTTTTTTCCCCAAGCTTGTTTGTGATGTTTTCATCTTTATACAACTTTCAAGTCAAACAGAAAAAAAGAACGAAAGGGTTTCTTAATAGCAGAGCAAGAAGTAACACAAAGGCCATCACTATGAAGGACTTAGCACTAAAGATTAGTCTGACACATTAAGGAAATAGTTATATAGATCTTAACAGATCTTTTATATTATTCTTTTAAACTACCCTATAACATTTTACACAATCCACAAAACGGTATAAAAATATAAATACTATGCTTTTGGGGATAGCAGATATTGATGACTGTAGCAGGCAGAGTCTACCTCTTCCTCATAACGCACGCCTGTCTTTGTACTGTTTGTCTTGTAAGAGAACGTCCAACATGCAGAAAATACCTCATTAACTTCTGTGCCCGCAGCCTTTACAAGACCACATGCAACTTTGCTTTCCCAGAACCGACTCGGTTTGATGTTCTGAAATGAGAGTACACAGTACCATAAGATATGGGAAATCCTTCTATTGTCAGGAGGCTCACGTAGTGAATAAGATCAGAACCTTCTTTTTCTCCAGTAACAGTTAAAACTGCACATCATGAAAAGACAATGCATTGTTTTCTGCTGAGAACAATGTATGACAACTTTTTTTTCCTTGCATCGTTTTTTGCATGATTATACACTAAGTATAATGCATTTGTGGACTTGGAACTTGCAAACAGAAGGTGGTTGCACTGATGTGATACTATGTCCTACAACTGTAAACGGTTACACTTGAAATGTACACTTTTAAATGTGATAAGATATGGGGTTTGTACATAAACCAGACAATGTCCTGAACTGCTATAAAGAATTTCACACAGCATTGCAGTGGTACTTCCCGTAACCGGGCACAGCCTACAAGACAATCTTGGCAGGCCAGGAAGATCTCTCATTCAGATGTAATCTGAGTAGATGACAAATTTAAGACACTTCTGTTCTTGTAGTAAGCAAATGCCAATGGAAGAAGTGCCCATCAGAACTTGCTAGTGATGGTGCTGTAAGTTGGCAAGAAAAGAAACGGGCACAAGCATGTCAGGTGCAATTTGGTGTATGTGGCTACTCTTACCTCAGGCACACACACACAAGAAAACCAGTGCTTCACTCAAGGCAAAGGCAGATAAAAGGGCAAGACCTTGTGGTTTTGTATTAAAGATCTTGGGGTTTGTCCTTCCTGGTAACAAGCCTGGGTACCCACACTGGAGATTTTTATGTTCTCACTTCAAGTGTTCCTCCCTCCCTGCAGGTCAGAAATGAGGCATGTCAGAGACTTGCTTGCAATACTGGTATTCCTGATCTGCGGTTACATAGGGAATTCTGTTTTAAAGCAGTCAACACAATCTCATTACAAGCACAGCATTTTTGTGAGGGGGGGAATGAGAAGGACAAATGTTACTCCTGTTCATGAATTTGCCTCTTATCATTTCCTCTCTCTGCTCTACAGAGAGTTATTTGATTCATATTAAGGGTTATTTGGGTCACTTTTACCTTGACAGGGAAAATAATGGTAACCTACTTTGAGATTTGTACCAATTTAAGTGAGAAAATGGATTCTGAATATTTTGCATAGTTGCTATATTTAACTGAGTGCTCAGTGAAGCATGAGTTTTCAAATGTGAGTAAGAGGCTTTAAAGCACTTTATTTGTTTTTAAACTACATTTGTTACTTATGATTAGCAATTTTATGTCATTCATATGCAGTGTACTGAGACTGGACACAATAAACTGACCTTCTTCCACCTATTAAACTAAACTTGGTGTTTAGTTATTATGCATGCAAAGTCAAGCAGAAAAACTACGGAGCGTTCATAAATAAGATGATTGTGTTTTATTTGCAATGAATAGGAATATTTGTGTTTATTACTTTTCATAAGAGGTTTACTACTGCTTATTTTGAATTGGAATAAACAATAGGCAAAAAATAGAACATCTGTGTCAAAGTTTAAAAAACCCTACAATCAAAAGCTGTTTAATCTCATCTCTTTAGTTCTATTGCACAGTCTGTTCCGTGTAACTTTTTACAACTACTGTGCAAGAAAACAGGTCATTTAAACTCAGTAATTAGTACTACAGATAAAATGGCACTGCAGCAATGTTAATTACTATAGTACTGATGTAGTATAGGGTACCCTATATAATAGTCATGTCTTTCATTTTAAATTGAAGTGCAACAAAGCATATTATTGTGACACTTCCTCTTCTTGAAGTAAATGAATGTTATTCGAGTGTACCATTTGTATCCACGCAGAATGTTTTTAAATAAATCACAGTTCTGCTTTAACTCAACTGGCATATTTCACTTTCTAATGGCAGAAATTAAGGAACATCTTGCTATAGGAACTTTTCCTATGATGGTGGAAGTTTTGACAGAATATATTCCATATGAAAAATTTCCACAATCATTTTCTTTTTCATTATAGCAGCTGTAAATCAGTTTGCAAATGAAGCACAACATTCAGTCTTTTTAAAAATAAAGATGAATCTTGAAGAGCATTACAGCTTTTGAGATGTACTAGGAACTATATGATCAAACCGTAATTAATTTTGTACTGCTATGAATAAAATATCTGGCAATTGTAAAATGTTCATAACAAAAGAGACTTGCAGAGGAGGACAGTGAAAGTTTTTACACCTGCAGCTCCACTAGGAATAGGGCTCCCTATTTGTGAATAATTATATCTCTGCTTTTTGTAGCACCTTTACTTTTAGGTAACTTTGTTATAAATATTAAAAGAAAGAAAACAATGAGTTAAATTTCAGATTTGTTTGAGTGTACCTAAATAATTTGTTAGCTGAAATGTTCCCGTTTTCAGTGCAGAAATTTTGTAATGAAGCTGTTATTCAGACCTTACATAAAAAATATTCTAAAAGCTTACTTATTTAGAAGTCTAATAATCCTATTCACTACATTAACCATGAGCCCCTGGCTAAAACATGTACAAATGGATTTGGCAAAATATTTGAATGTACAATATAAGATTCAAAGCAGAAGTTGAAGTACAACCTCAGGTTGTGTATTTCATCTCACAACAATAAGATGCATTGCTACATTTATATGAAGGTGTGTAAAGAGCAAAACCTCGCAGTACATATAACTAGTTTCCAGGATTTACTAATTATTTCCAAAAAAATGCCTTTTTTTTTTCCCTCCATTTTGTTTAGGTCAGTGGGACGATGTATAATACAGGGAGACATGTATCTCTACGATTAGACAAAGAGCATTTGGTCAACATCTCTGGAGGACCGATGACGTACAGTCACCGCTTAGAGGAAATCCGGTTACACTTTGGAAGCGAAGACAGCCAGGGATCAGAGCACCTACTCAATGGACAGGCTTTCTCTGGGGAGGTATGTTAACGTGTTTGGAGTTACAAACCAACCAGTATGAATTACTCACTTTCCATTTCTGCCTGAAGGTATTTGCAAGCTAATTTGTATTTGTAAAAATTGTTTCCCTTTATCCATTCTAAAAACCAGGGAATTCCTTTTTTTTTTTCATGCAGACATTGCAAATTGTGTGACTCATATCTAAAAATGAAACTGTGGTATTTATTGTATGCATAGACACCCTGTATTCTCATACACACTACTTACAAAGTAATCGAGTATCTTTTGATGGTTCCTTTATACCCCTAGTAAACGCAAACAAAAGATTAACAACAAAGTAATACTGAAAGTGCTTTGAGTTCTTAAAAAAATGGTACTTTTGCTACTCACTGGCGTGTAACACTTCACATTGAGTATCATTCTGCCTTTGATTCATGTAAAAATAAGGTGATACTTAATTTTAGAGATGGTTCCACAGAACTTTGTTGGTCTGCTCAAGAAATAAAGTCAACTTCACAATAAACCCTTGCAGGATTGGTACTTGCTTTGTATATTAAATACACGTCTGTAAGCATCCCAGGAAAGACCATGATTTAATGATCCTGATAGCTATTGCAGGATAGCCCATTACTCTTGCTGGATAAATATTTTAGTCATATATATGGAGTACTTCTTCCAAGATAAATAGTAGAGTTTGCAGACTTTCTGGTGGACAAATCAAAATCTTTCCATTCTTCTTACACAGGAGCATTTTTACATAGAAGAATTGCACAGGTTTTTTACTATCCCATCCTGCATCAGTGCCATGTCTGTGAATTATCTGGCATGCAACTCTACTCCACAAATCTTAACAAATAAAATAATGCTTCAGAAGATATTACTGTAGGGATTAAAGATACTCAACATATCCTTTTCCTATTATTTCAGAAGACCAAAATGAATAATTTTTCATAATAAAGCACTTATTTTCATGGAGATGAATAATCAAATTACCATCTGTACTATCTATCACAGACTCTGGTGATGAGTCAGTGCATGTCATTTTCTTTGGCACTATGCAACAGCAGTTATTTAAGAGAAAGAAATTAATTGCAGAGTTGTCAGATGACGGTATTATAATTGATGGTAATCATTTGCTTTGTTTTATAAGCTACATAGATGTATCATATAGCCAGTGGCAGCTTTTTCATGAAATTATTCATGTCTTGCACAACTGACTTCTGGTTGCCTTCGTTAAATTCTACGATAAATGAATATATAATGTATTACTCCTTTAAGAGCTGAAAGTTAAGATGCTGTAGTAAATCAGGTCTTTGCTGACCAGATTCACAGAAGAGTAGTACTCAAATGAAAGCATGTTGACTGAAGAAAAAAGTCTGGTTGAAACATACCATTGCACTTGATACTATATATCAGCATCATTTCAGATATTTTTTAAGAGTTTTTAAGTTACAAATTCATCAAAGACTAAGAAAAGGTAAAAATGTAGAGCATTGTTTTGCAATACTTAATGCTAATACTTAACGATGCTTTTCCAGTTTTGAAAGTAGGAGTTTTGAAGTACTATTAACATTTTGTATTATTTGCTAACAGAGACCTCAACTTTTTCTCAATAAAAGCAGAAAACCTGGATAAGTGAAAACTGCTGTCAGTCGGTCATGCACAGCTGGATCCAAAGTATATGCAGGATTCATCTAGTTATCTGAATTCCTCCTGCAGTGAATAGGAAGAGATTAGCATCTTCAGAGGATGATCATTCCTGATAGCCAGACACATCTCTTAGGACAGGACAAATCACTCTGTGGAGATGCATCTCCCCTGACAACAGAGCAGAGACAAACAGCAGGCCAAGTAGCTTAGACTAGACACCTCCGCTTCAAACGGCGAGATGAATTCTGTCCTTTGAGGATGTGTTTTTCAAAGTTTGGGGTAGCCATTTTGAGCAGCTGGACAGGAAAGTTCCCATAAGGTCAAATATTAATTACTAATTTGAACCTGCATCTCCACATTGAAGTCTTATTTATAGAACACATACTGTTTCCAAAGTACAAGCACAGATTCGAATCAATCATGCTGAATAGCATGGGTGCAAATTTTCAGTGAAGGATGGCAGCTGCCAGTGTTCTTAGAATATACATCCACCCATACGAGTGCTGTCTGTATAAATAAGTGATTTTCAATAAGGTTTCAGCACTGGAAGATGTAATGTCTACAGCTCCCAGCAACTACAATAAGAAAACTATAGACAAGCCAGCTGACTTTATGATGGAGTACCTGTCTTTATAATGCAACACACACTTTCAAGGCTGTTGCTGCTAATTACTGTCACTTCTGCATTGGATAATGCTGTCGGAGGAGATGGGATAAAGAAAGATGACTACATAAGTGCATTAGTTTAATTCAGCTAGTGCAGGTAAGAATAGGTGTGAGTATTTGCTGGCTTAGGCTTCAGCAGTGTAGGCAACCAGAGAAAAATTATTGCAGGATTACACTGACTGCTAATTGCACACTAACTCCCCTGGCACTGCCTTGTTACTACTGTTCTTATTTGCGTTGGACAAACCCACTCTGGGTTTTACTGAAACCTCTGTTTTGCTGTGGAAAGGCAAAGGATGAAGTTACCCAAGAATTGTAATCCATTCCAGTAGAAACACATCAGCTCGTTCCTGCTCCTCCCTCCCTCCACTCCCATCCATATCTGTCCCCTCATTTGCATTGAGGTCTCCAATGCACGTTGAAGTCAGCACATTGCAGAGAGAGAAGGGGAGAGGTCAGGGGAGAGAACGGTACCTCTCCCTCACAGCACTGGCAAACTATTAAATTGGCTCAAACAGACCTAAATTAAATCCAAGTACAGACAAGGCAGAAGCTTTTAAACAGCCCCAATATATCTTGAATCAGCTGTGATGCTCTTTAAACACCTGGAAATCTCACCTAACATCCGTGCTAAGCAAGAAGTTTGTTCTTAGGGACATTTTTGCCTAGTCAAGATGATCTGCAAGTGGGCAGGCACTCAGAGCAAGCTACAGAGCACTGGAGCGGTACCATGGCATGAAAAACAATCTAGAAATAGCAAATTGCTTCAAAAATATACTGTGGTCTGAATGATACTGAGAGGCTTGTAATTTCCAGGCTTTAACATTTAACTAGGTGTTAAAGGCTGTCAAGAGAGATCTCTGCAATAATCTGGTTACCTTTTAGCCCCTAATTATCATTTTAGTAGGCAGAATAATTGAACTAATGCTTAAATAGTTTGAGTGTAAGGGCTTTAAAACTGTGTATCAGATTATCATCAATATGTTTGGTGCTAAACTGGACAGAACGGTAGGCTTTGGAATGCTTAAATAAATAAATCGAGCATTTACTTGTCCCTCTGACACATACTTGAGTGTGTTTAATTCCCTACTCTTTGCATAAGCATCCTGCTGTATTATAATGACTAAAAGAAAATCTTGGCTCAAGCAAAGTCCCTGAGATACCAATCGTTTGTGTCTGCTGCCTCATGTCTCTATGCAAAACAAGTTTTTAATGCTTCAGAGTCCATATCCTTTAATGAGAAAAACCATCTTCCTTTCAGACAGTACAAAATACAGCATAATTTACCAGCATGCTGCTGTTCAGGCACTATCTACCGTGTTAAAATAAAAAGGTAACAATCTCCAAAAGGTTCATAGTGAAAAATGGGACCCTTTAACTTTACCATGTGGCAGTCAAAAACCCATGCCAATTTCTTTTGCTAAGCAGAAAAATGAAAACCGTGCTGCAGGAGACCTTCAGCCACTTTATGGCTGTGCATTGTAGAAGCCTTATCAATGTAAAAGCAGAAAGTCAAGGAGCTTAATTAGTTGGGGTTATGCACTTTTCACAAACTCAGTAGCTGGAGACTTTCAAACAAGAGACCATAGTCCACAACACATGAAAATAGTAGATTATTTCTTCTCTGCCCACCAAGTCACCCTTCAAAAACACATTGGCAGAGATTATAAACACACAATGATTTCATCTGTTACATAAGAAGTAAAGTGAAAGCCAGAATACTATCTAGATAAATAATTACATATTGCAAGCTCTACACGCAGTTTGGAAGCGAGATTTACTTCTGCTGCTGCTAAAAACCACTAAGAAAACTGAATGAAATACAAGAAAATGGGAATCAAAGGGGGAGGCTGGAAATTCTGAAATATCAGCCTTCTCCTACTATCGCAATTTTGTTAGCTGCAGGCATATTCTATGTGAGTGGGGAACTTCTAGTGATAGTAAAGGATTACTTATCGGAGAGATCAGTGTTGCAAATCCAACCTCTGATATTTTTAGAAGCAGGACTGTCAGCTAGACAGCCTATGAGAAGCGTCCGGCCAGCTGGAATAATTTAATCCAGCCTGCTACAGGATTAGTCTGAATTGTTAAATCAGAAACAGTGGCTCTGTCACTGAGCCCTTCTGTACACCTGTGACTGCCTGTGTGGTTCCAAACAGCCTCCCCAAAAATCCTAATGTTGGTATTGTTTATACCAAAAACCCAGAGAACAAGTCATGGCCAGTTAGCATGTCAGAAGAAATGGCAAGTACAGGCCAGCTCTACATTGCATCGCTTGTTACAAGCCATTTACATCCCCTGCTATTTGGTATGGTCCTTTCTTCTTTCCAAAACTCTCATCACCTAGAAGGTGAACATTTGGCTGCACCTCCCACGTGACGTTTGACTCAGGACTCTGCCTCCTTTTCGGACCCAGGGGTCAGTTCTGCACAAAAGCCCCAGTTTTTTTTTTTTTCCCTACACTTACTCAGTATTTAGATTCCTCTCTCGGTCTGTTTTTCTGTTTTGTTCTCTATAGGAAGGCTCACTGATGTGGGGATTTGTGAGTCTAGCATGACTCTTCCCCAAATTGTGCTAGAACACAGTCCTTCCTCTTCCTCAGGAAAGGAGCATTAGATCAGCTAGCTATGTCCTAGAGCAGAGAGGACAGGAATGTCCTGCTTCTTCATAACCACCTTCCCACAGGTGGTTACACCACCACAGCG